CATAATATGCTGCAGTGTTATCCATTGCGGTGGCTCAAGTCAATTGCAGCAAGGAGGATGACTGAATCGTCTGCGACAATGAGACAGATGTGGTGGCGAGACAACATCAGCAAATTGTGCAAACAATGGTCATCCATGACCACGGCGCCCGAAACTGGCCTACCCTTTCCGGAAACCACAAGCGCCTACTAATGCTGGCCAACTCCCATCTCGTCCGACAGACTCCGGCCATTAAGCATCTGCGCGCATGGATCCCGACAATGGTAGGTAGGTATTCATCTTGTCCTTTTACCTCATACCACTCAATCGTCATCAGAGAAAGTGCGTATACGTCGAGACTATGCAAAGCGTTCCGCTGCATCACAGCCGCCTCCTCGGCACTCCTTACTAACATCTCCCCAATCTCTCTCCCGAACGTGCTCCTCATCCTCCTCCATCCTCCTTTCCGCCTCGGCCCTCTCTGCCTCCTCGTCTGTGCATCCGCCGCCGCCGCCATGAGCGGCGGCATGGGGCGGCAGGTCAGGTTGCAGCCTACTATTTGTAGAACACGGCGCCGAAGTGCCGATGCAGGCAGAGCGGGTGAGTGCGCGGCAACTTAGCAGCGTTGTATTCAGTCAGATGGTGTCGTCGCTGTGGACGACAGCGTCCACAGCAAAACTGACCAGATGCCCCGTGCGCCGGAGCATGGGCATGCAGCCATTGTGAGCGTCTGCCCGGTGTGGTGACGTTCCCTTCACGATCCTCACCCTGCCTTCTTTCTACGTATACTCCCTACTGATACTTTTCAATCTTGCTCATCGATGACGCGTATTTTAGGTTGCAACTCAATCAACGGCCTGTCATTGTGCTAGCCCTGCCCTGAACCATCCCTTGCAAAACCCCCATCTCTCGATGCCGCGTCTGCATCCCCCCTTTATCACCCGCTACAACGTACCAGTTCTGCAACATGCCCCTTGGGCTCTGATGTTTGTGAGTCATGCCAAGACGGCTGTAGCTACTAATGTCTAGCTCTACCCGCCTGCCTTCGACTCCTCATAAACATCCCATAGGTATGTACAATGTGCACACACTAGTTGTGTCTCGCTCTTGCCCTTTCCGTAAGCCTTGTTGCCTCACTTACCTTTTGTATGATTGCATAGACATTGTTGCGTACTTTTGGCTTTGGCCTCGGGAGCATCCTTGCTCCTGCTCACCCAGCGACTAGCCCTGCTAACCCTAACCCGCTTTTTTCACGCACAGTAGGTGTGTAAACTGGCTACATTCATGTCTGCCTTCTTCCATGTATAGTAGTTCGCGTCCAATCATCATTGATTATCGAAAACCAAACTCGAATTGTGTGATCATTTGTCGGCTACTTCTTGAACGTGACAAGTGACCATCTCACAGCGTGGGCATGTATGGTAGAATTTGCACAAGCCACTGACCATGTATGTTTATTAGCCCAGTCAATAATGTACATTATTGGCCTTAGTTCCCCTACAGTATGGTAGCTGCTGTCCGAATGCTCAGCGAGAAATGGCTTTCAATGTCCAGGCGCCCCGCGGCATCTGGCCATTGCAGACCACACCTGGCGGATTTGGTACGGGTTTACCATCTACTTCTCATACCTTGCCCAATCTGGTCAGAATTGCGAAACCTGGTCATCACTGACCATCCGTTTCGCTTTTTTGCTGATGAAGTTAGGGCCTGTTCGGCAAAGAGTTGGAGTTACGTAGTCTCGTGACCAGACGTTCGGAGCTTGAATCGGATGCAAAAAACCGGGGGCATCCGAGCTCCTGAACGTCTGGTGGCTTTACCCCCATGACTCCCCGCTCGGTGACCGGTGTGACCTCCCTGCCTCTTGTCCTTCGTGCGCGTCTGCCTGCTTATCTCCCCGCTATCTTCGAGTCGCGCTGAGCCTACTCCGCTCTTTGTCGACACTCCTCTAACTGGTACGTCTCTATGACATCTACAAGCCTTTGCTACACATCCTCCATACTCAATCTGTCTATCTCTCATATAGGCAGTACACAGTAGTCCGCTCCATGGGCGCTTATAGATCCTCGCGCACCCAGTCTAATCCCACCAACAGTGCCTCTGAGACATCCGCCT